CAGGCTGGTCTCGAACTCACAGAGATCCACCTGCCTCTGCCTCCCAAGTGCTGGGATTAAAGGCGTGTGCCACCACTGCCCGGCCCCCAGTCCATTTTCTTATTTTTATTTTATTTTTGGTTTTTTGAGACAGGGTTTCTCTGTAGCTTTGGAGCCTATCCTGGAACTAGCTCTTGTAGACCAGGCTGGCCTTGAACTCACAGAGATCCACCTACCTCTGCGCTACCCCCCCCCCCCCCCCGCCCCAAGTGCTGAGACTAAAGGTGTGGGCCACCACCGCCCAGCCCATTTTCTTATTTTTAAGTTGCACTTCTTTACCTATTCTGAGGGACAAGTCTAGGTCTTGTCTTTTTCTGTTAACACCGTGTTTTAGGGGGTAGTTTTGGAAGTTTATAGTAGTGGTGCTTCTTATCTAGAAATATGCCTAGCCTGAAGTCATAGAAGTTTGCTTTCTTCTTGCAGAATGACAGCTTAGATTTTACTCTTAGCTATATGGACCTCTCCTGATGTGTATTAGCATTTGCTTTGGATATGGCGCAATTGTGAAGTTCTTTTTTTTTTTTTTTAAATATTTATTTATTTATTATGTATACAATATTCTTTCTGCGTGTATGCCTGAAGGTCAGAAGAGGGCACCAGACCTCATTGCAGATGGTTGTGAGCCACCATGTGGTTGCTGGGAATTGAACTCAGGACCTTTGGAAGAGCAGGCAATGCTCTTAACCACTGAGCCATCTCTCCAGCCCCAATTGTGAAGTTCTTATTTTGCACACGGATGACCAGTTGTCCAGGAACATTTGTTGAAGACTTTCCCCACTAATTGTTCTTCTGCCTTTGCTGAGAATCCATGTCGTCTGTCTGTCTGTGGACTCTTCTGTCCTGTTCTGTCTTGGTGATGGTACCTTTGATGGACCTCAGCCTCACTCTTCTTTGAAGTTGTTTTGTCTGTTTTATTTCCTCCATGTTCACATAGGAACTTTACAAATTTCTCAGCTTCTACAAAAGAACTATTTTTACAGGTGAAGTACTCAGCGGTAAAACACTGGCCTGGCAGTTGCAAGCCCATAGGTTCAATCCTTAACAGTACCAAAAAATCAAAACCAACCAAAGCTGAACATTGCTTTCCTTGGGAATGCCAATTCCATTAAATTTATTTGTCAGTTTGGAGAAAACATGACAATATCATAACACTATTGGATACTGCATCTCATGAAGATAGTGACTGCATCCGTCTGATAGCTCATTATTAGTTTTCAGCAGACAGATCTTTTACATCTTTCATATACTTAATGCTTTCATGCTCTCATATATGGCATTGTTATTAATTTTAATATTGTAATTGGTATTGATAGTTTATGAAAATAGTTGAATATTGCAGTTGAGTCCTAGAATTCACTTGATTTTTTTTTTTTAACTAGATAATCATGTTATTTACAAATAAGGATTTTTTTCTTTTCTTTGAAGATTCGGGTTCTTTTCCTTTTTCTTTCCTCTATATCTTAGTGTTGAGTGGAGTGATGAACACGGGCTTCCTCTTGTCTCTGTATTAGCAGAAGAATGTAGACTCCTACCCTCGGGTAGGATGCTAGCTGGGGTGTTTCACAGATGTCTTCCCAGGGTGAGGATGTCAGTCTGACTGGAGGCCTATTGCTTTTATTTCCGAAAGGGTCAGCTTAGTTGGTGTTCTCTGTTTTCTTTATTTTGCCAAGCCCTGTTCTCTTGGCTCTGCTGCCTTAGTGCTGGGATCACAGCAGGCCTCACCACACCTGGCTTGGCTTCCTTGCTTCTTCCCTCCCTGGCATCTTTCACATGCAGAGCAAGGACTCTGGTATTGGACTGTGCTCCAGACTTTAGTTCACTTGAGACGGGCTCATCATGTAACACAGGCTGTTCTCAAACTTGTGCTCCTCCTGCCTCAGTCCTAGGAATGACTGCCATGCCCAGCTTCAGCTTCACTGATTTCTGTTCCGTCTTCACACTGTCCTCATCTCTATCTTGCTAGTTACCTGTGCATCTATGTTGTGACTCACTAAGCAGAGCCATGACTGGACCTGCTACTGCCCGCTGGCGTTGGCAGCTCCAGTTTTCTGTACTTGGAGGATGTTGCTAGGACGCTACCACTGTGGAGTCCTTTCTAGCTTGTTACCTGTGACTTTTTGTGAACGGGGTTCCCAGAGCATCTCAGCTGTCACCTTGCAACAGCCGGGTCCCATTTCTCTCACTCTCCCATGTCCACCATCACTATATGCTACCTTTGCATGTTCCATGAACCCCAGAGACACTGCTGTGATCTCTTGCTATGTAGATAGCTGTCATTAAAAGAAGAGAGAGCCTTGCATACTGAGCTAGCATGTTACATACACAGTGTTGGCTGTCTTTGTGGGAACCCAAAGAAGTTTATACTTGTGTTTCCTGAGCATGAGATTTTCTTTAATATTTACTGTAGTGAAGGTCAGCACCAAATTTTCACATGACTGAATTTCACCTGTGCCATGGTGCACAGAGGCCAATGTGACCTCTCATCTCTGTGGTGGGGCAAGTGTCTGTGACCTCTCACCTCTGTGCTGATGCAGGTGTCTGTGACCTCTCACCTCTGTGCTGGTGCAGGTGTCTGTGACCTCTCACCTCTGTGCTGGTGCAGGTGTCTGTGACCTCTCACCTCTGTGCTGGGGCAGGTGTCTGTGAGCTCTCACCTCTGTGGTGGTGCAGGTGTCTGTGACCTCTCACCTCTGTGGTGGGGCAAGTGTCTGTGACCTCTCACCTCTGTGCTGGTGCAGGTGTCTGTGACCTCTCACCTCTGTGCTGGTGCAGGTGTCTGTGACCTCTCACCTCTGTGGTGGTGCAGGTGTCTGTGACCTCTCACCTCTGTGCTGGTGCAGGTGTCTGTGAGCTCTCACCTCTGTTCTGGGGCAGGTGTCTGTGAGCTCTCACCTCTGTTCTGGTACAGGTGACTGTGACCTCTCACCTTTGTTCTGGGGCAGGTGTCTGTGACCTCTCACCTCTGTGGTGGTGCAGGTGACTGTGACCTCTCACCTCTGTGGTGAGGCAGGTGACTGTGACCTCTCACCTCTGTGGTGGTGCAGGTGTCTGTGACCTCTCACCTCTGTGCTGGTGCAGGTTTCTGTGACCTCTCACCTCTGTGCTGGTGTAGGTGTCTGTGACCTCTCACCTCTGTTCTGGTGCAGGTGTCTGTGACCTCTCACCTCTGTGGTGGTGCAGGTGTCTGTGACCTCTCACCTCTGTGCTGGTGCAGGTGTCTGTGACCTCTCACCTCTGTGCTGGTGCAGGTGACTGTGACCTCTCACCTCTGTGGTGGTGCAGGTGTCTGTGACCTCTCACCTCTGTGGTGAGGCAGGTGACTGTGACCTCTCACCTCTGTGGTGGGGTAGGTGTCTGATTCACTAGTAACCAGGCCCCTGTGCAGTGCTCAGGATACTTTATTTCTGGCCTGCATTTGTAGTGTCTGTCAGTCTCTTCTCTGACTGATGTCTGTCTGTCTCTCGTCCATTGTTCCTCAGAGCTTTCCCCTAGTGAAGTTCACTTCAGGCCTTTTCACTGGGGCTTTGTCACAGCTTTGTGACGTTCAGTACGCAGTTATACGGACTGACGTGCTACTGTGCTTACCGTTTACATCCAGTCATTGACGGGTCAGCACAAGCTGGCTGACTGACCTCAGTTTTGCTTTGTTCTGCTTTGAAGGCCTGGTCACTTTTGACTGGGTGCCAGTCAAAAATTTGAATTTAACCTTGCTGGGCAATAAGCCTTTACTTTTCTGTAAGAATTTCCGAGCCTTATGCCTGGAAGCAGCCTGGTCCTCTCAGGAGCCGGGGAGCTGGCTCCTCTGAGGCGTGGGTGAGTGGGACTCCTCCTCAGGCGTGGAGCCTCACGGAAGCCTGACCTGCGCCGTGGGCTTGCAGGTACGTGCAGCACTATGGCCTGGCCAGCGCCTGTGACCACATAGAGCAGGTGCTGAAGAGCGTGGCTGTGAAGCTGGGGAAGACGCGGAAAGTGAAAGTGCTCACCGGCACAGGTGCGGGCGTGGGCCCCTTCCTCTGTCACCTTTCTGCAGGGCAGGAGGAGACACAGAAGGAAACCTGCGATCAGAGCATGGGAAGGGGAACTGTGGGCATTTCTAGGGAGGGAGGACTTTCTAGTATCGGCTTCCGAGGGTGGTCCTAACTCCGGACAGTGCTGGGTGGATGTGGTGCCTGTGTTCTTTCTGAACATGCCCTTCCTCAGGTTCCACTGATGGGGCCTCTAGTGGTCTCTTAGGGCTGGGCTGCCCTTAAAGGCCTCTTTCTCATCTGACCCTCTGTCCTTAGGTAATGTCAATGTTATCCAGCCTGATTACGCCATGGCAGCCCGAGACTTCCTCCGGACCTTCCGCAAAGGGCTACTGGGCCAAGTGATGCTGGACCGTGATCTTTTGCCTGCTTGTTGATGACGCCGAGCCCTGAACTGGCTTGCTGGAGTATAGTCTTCTGCATACTCCATGGAACTGCAGCTGGAGCGTTTAGCTTTCCGAACTGTTCCCCTGTCCACAGACTCTATGTGTTGCTACCCAAGACTCAGCCCCTAACTCTAAAGGGCACTCTGTTCTTTTATCAGCCTGGTTAGTCCTGGTTATAACCATGGGGTCCCAGGAGTCCTAAATATGTGGTTTAGTCAGGAGGTTTTCTCTCAGTCTCAAGGAGAGGTTAATGCTATCTCAGAGGAGTCAAAGCTATAATCTGTAATTTAAAAATTGGGTTAAAAAGACTGCTTAAAAAAAAAATCTTTCTCTGACTATCTCTCATTTAATTTCATTTTTTTTTTGTTATTTTGAGGCAGTGTTTCATTGTGTGATTTGGGCTGGTCTCAAATACACATTTCTCCTGCCCCAGCCTCTGGAGTGCTGGAAATATACAGGCATGTGTCATGACACCAGGTGAAAGGCCCATTTTCTGATAGCTTTTTTTTTTATTGTGCACTTAGTACTTTAAGCCCATTAGTTAAATCCCCTCCCCCTCCACCAATGAATGCTGGGGATTGGTAGATTAGGGACCGGGGCTCCTAATTCAGAATCTCAAGCGTCTTGAAGTCCTGCAATGAGGAGAAAGCTTGCTACCAGCGGAGGCCTTTATTTCACAATGAACTCTTCACTGATACATGTGTTTACAGATAACAACAGGAGATTTGGAATAGAAAAGCCCAGGAATGTCCTCTCCCCTTGTTCTTCCAAGCCTGTGCCTCAGGAGACCATCTGCTGTAGGCTCACCTTTGCACAGGTCCCAGCATGGTTGACCTCCGTACACCCATAGGCATCTAAAGGATGTTGCTGCCAGCAGCTTGCTGTCTAGAAAGGAAAAGGGAAGGGCTGGTTGATATAGACAGGAGGTGCTGTTGGACCAGCTGGGCTACACCTGCTCAGTACTTCTAGTTTCTTCTGTCCAGTATTGACCTGGCGTTCCTGTAGTTGCCTGAACCAGTGCTTGCATGCTCAGCTGGCTCTCTGCTTCTTGTGGATAGCTGATAATAGGGGCTAACCGTCCACTGTTGCCCCTTATTGTGGCTGCAGTATGGTAAGCGTCCTGAGATTCTCCCTCAGCGTCTTATGGTTCTCACTGGTGGAGAAGGTATTCAAAGATGTGTGGCTGTGCCAAGTGCTAAACACCCTGGAGAAGTCAGATTGGTATGCGAAATAATAATTCGAAGGTGATGTTTCCATGATGTCCAGAACCAACACATGGTACCCTGGTACGTGCAGGTCGGATCCACATAGCCCATCCTCATAGGTATTGGACAAGCCGAAGGGGCTCTAGTGGGTCTTTCTATACCAGACTCGGTGGTACCTGCCTTTGAGGCCCTGAGTGGGCTTGGCCCTTAGCTTGCTGGTCTTAGACTTGAGCTTGGTCTGCAAGAGACAGGCTGGCTGTGCCTAAGAGCACCGGCAGTGTAGATAGAAGATGCAGGGAGCTGCATCCTGCAACTTGTTGGTCAAGAAAATGCCTGGCTAGGGTCCTGCCAATAGCCTTGAAACCTGTATACTAACCAGAAATTTGCCAGGCTAGCATTGTGCATACTGACTGAGCCCAGAGACCCGTCACTCCATGGAGCAAGGATGTGCTGGTGGGCAGCAGGGAGCCAGGCTGCCCAAAGGTAGATCCAGGTGAGGACTGCAGTGCATATCTCTGAGACCACCCTGGACATCAGCTCTGTCCTCAGGATGGATATGAATAGTCAGAAAACTTTCAGTAGTGTTAGCCCAAACTCACAACCTACTGAGTCTGGTTTTAGCTTTCCTCTGGCAGCAGCAGTGGGCCTGATGAACCGTTGCCTTCTCCAATGTGCAGGCTGCCAGCTCCCAATTGTGCCATATTCTCTTACCTTCCTGTTCCATCTGTTTCCAAAGGAGGGCATCTCCCAACACAAGATGCTGCTGTCTACTGGCATGGGAATCTTGCAGTTTGGGTCATGTATAAAGACGGCTCCAGCAGGATTGATACTGTGTCCAAGTGACCTTTGCTTGTGAACTTTAAAGTTCAAAGGAAATGGAATGTGTCCGAATTGGAATCCCTACCCTCATCTTAGGGACAGTTAAGTGGTCCTTATGGCCAAGTGGTTCCAAGTGAGGAATGCTTTTGACAGATCTCTTAGGCAGCCTGTGGGGAAGACACACTAGCTTGGCCTTGGCAGCATGTTCAAGGAGGACCACAGTGGCTGTCCTGGGATGAGTATTTTCTGCTCTGGATGTTCCTGAGCTGTGACATTATTAGGACCTGCTCTGGGCAGGTGGTTAGCACCTGACATTTCTCACGCCTCAGTCCAAGTGAATGTTCTCTTCATCAGATTTGTGAAGCCCAGAGGCACATGGTCCATTTCTTCTGCTTCCACGGGAGGCCCAAGGTCTTTTGGGCTTTAGTGGCAGAATCAGACAGGCCCACCTGAGGATGGCCTCTTCCTGGTGGTCAGCGTTATTCATGCTCTTGCGTCTAGGGCAAGCAGACAGGCATGGCCCAGTACTTCCTCTGGGGCAGCTCTGGAGAGTGGAGGGCAGCCTGCCTCTGGCGGTGGAAGACTGGGAGATCGGGATGGGCAAGAGAGTTGACAGTGTCCACAAATTGCAAGAAAGCTTGTGGGTTCAGAATTCCCAGGCTGTCACCTGGGCTGGGGAACCATAGTCAGCAAAAGGAAGTGACACTTTGAGCTGGAAAACACTAGGATGGTCCCTCGGGCCCCCGATGACCAGGCAAGGAACCAGATCTGGGATGGAGCTCAGCCCGATCTAGGGCCAAAGCAATTCTAAGGCACCAAGGGTGCCCCCTAGAAGCAGGCAGATACGTGGGCTGGGAGTGGACCCAGAGCCCGAAGTCCAGGCCCAGTAGCTGTAGACTCCTCGATCAGTTCCATTGCCTCCAGTTGCCCCATTCTCATCGTCCTCCAGACCTAATTCTCCAGGCCCCGAGGTCCTCCTCCAGCCAGAGCCGGTGGCAATGCCTGCAGCCACACCTGCTGCAGCCCCTGCGGCTGCCCCTGCAGCCGCCACACGCAGAGAGGAGCCGTAGCGGGGTGCCGGCCTTACGCGCACTCTCGATGCCCCACGCGCGCCTCCGCGTACCCCGCGGGCGCTGCCTCTAGCTCCTCCGCGGCCGCCCTTGGCCGAACAGCTGTCACAGAGGAAGGCGGCAGCCAGCAGCAGAGCCCAGCACGTGGCAGCAGTCCAGTTCATCCTACTGGGCAGAATCTACAAGAAGAGGATGGAAGGGGCTTCAGCTTCTGATAAGGGGTGGCGCTTGGTTTAGAGCCTGGGCAAGAGGGGTATCATGGCCAGGGAACAGGCCCATGCGGTCCTGAGAACACCGACATCAGCCTGAAGGCAGAATGAGCCTCTGATTTAGTGATAATTTGACAGAGGGCTCGCAACATTTTGGAGGACAGTGGGCTCAGAGCTGGGGAAGGGACTCTTTTAATCTCCAGCATCAGGACTTTGGTTTGGGGTTCTTGCTATGTAACCAGGTAGAGATGGGGTGGGGTGAAGGTGCTCAACAGCAGGGCGACCGTTTTACTGTTGTGGTAGGGTGGAGATGGAGATTTGATGAGCTTCCTCAGTGGGGCTCAGGCCTTGGGGGCGGGGGCACAAATCCCCCCCCTCCCCCCCCCCCGCCCTGCACACGGGTCTCTGGAAGGGCTGGGGATGGATCAGTGTAGGGAGGACGCTAGTTTGGAATCGAGAGCCCTCACCACACTCAGATTAGGGGTAGAATGGACGGCCTTGTGTCTTTCTCTGGTTTTCTAGATCTCCTGACGAGCCTTTCAGCCAGAGGCTGCGGCTGCAAGCACTGCCGCTGCTGCTGGTGGGGGAGCAGAAGCTAGACCCGCGATTCCTTGCAGCGCAAACAACCAGTACTGGGCGAAACGCCCGGCAGGCCTGGACTCTAAGTAAGTCTTTCCCTTCCCCGCCCCAGCTCCACCCTTCCCGGATTTGCTTAGGTCCGTTGTCCGGGCAGGTCACTGATCAGGATGGGTTCGGACTGGCTGTGGACCAGCAGTTGAGTGGTGGCTCCATCCTTCTCAGGTCCTCTCTCCCCGCCCCCAACTTCCTCCCTCCCAAGCCTCACTGGGTTCATCAATCTCCCCGACTTACTGGTCACAGGGCAAGGTCGGAACAGCGGAACAGTGCATAGGGGCCGTGGCCCCAAACGGAAAGGTGAGGCGGCGAGGACCCTCTTCCTGAAGCAGAGCTCACGAATGGATTTTGCTGAAGCCTCCGCCCAAACATTAGGGGCGGGCTGCCTTGGAAGCTCAGCCCCGGGAGACGCGAAGGGAGGAGGTGCGGCAGGCTCAGAAAGGCACAGCCCCAGCCCTTCTGTTGCCCGGCCCCCATCCTAGCTGCGCTGCATATTGCTTCCTCCCACCTCATCTCCCCCATCCTCCAGCCCTGCCCAACCTCTCATTTCCCTTTGTCCACTAGCCCCACCACCCACGACATCCAGTGCGTTCTTGTCCCTGTCTGTTCAGCATCTTTGCTCATGGCCTCTCCCTCTCTGGTTTTCTCTACCTGTCCATCTCATGAATTTCCTACCACCATTCCCATTCCTCTGATGTAATCCCAGCCCCACCTATCCCTCTTCTCCAGCCGAAAGGACCACTGCCATGTCCTTCTAGGTGTGTAGGGTTCCCGGCAAGCATTGGAATGTGCCCAGCACCCCGCCAGATGACCCTCCAGTCAGGGATACACAGTTATGAGTACCCCAACAACACTAGAATCCCTGCTGATCTGAACCTTTCCTGAAACCTTCTGGAAATAGGCCCCTGGAGAGCCAGCCCTCCTTTGTTTTCAAGCTGACTTTTGCCGTGCCCTCCCTGCCTTTGTAGGGTAAGTGTAATCTCAGCTCCAGACAGCCACGAAAGTTTTCATGTGCCCTGTCTGTCCAGCATCTTTGCTCATGGCCTCTTGCTTTCCAAGGCCCAAGATTACAGTCTGAGCTGCTGGGTCAGCCCTGTCCTGGCTGAGGCTTAGTATGGAGTCTCCTGGGAATCTGAGATGGACCCAGTGGGTAGGGGCAGAACCTGGAGAGGAAGGGAAGTGGTCCTGGTAATCTGGGCTCAGCAATACCTGGTTAGTGTATGGAGCGCCTCCCACTGAAGCTAGTGTGGTTCTGAACTTTCATGTGCAGTTGAAAGATCGCTAGCCCAGAGGCTGGCCGATGCCCCCTTTTAGCTCAGGCAGGGAGAGCTTCCAGGCGCTCCTTCCTTCCCCTACTACATGTTAAAGTGTGAAGGACAAACACTATTTGTTAGACAATCAAGGCCGTCTGCAGCACACAAGAACAAGGCCAAGGTATAAAAACAGAAAAAGAGAGAGAGAGAGAGAGAGAGAGAGAGAGAGAGAGAGAGGTTTGAGGACCCAGAAGAAAACTTAAAACACACACACACACGCTCATAATGACCAGAGCAGCCAATGTTGGTAACTAAGAAAAGGATGCTGTAAAACAGAAATAAAATAGGATAAAACAGGAATAAAATGAAAGAAATTTTTAGATCAAAACATTTTGTTCCCCTCAAAAGAAGAGGGGGGTTGAGTAAACAAAGGTATCCTATAAAAGATGAAGACTGTGAGAGGAAAGGTCACCAGCCCAGGGGTACAGTTTTGGGTTCTGACACTTGAGGGTTGTTCCAAAGATGAGAGTAGAGAAGAAAGAGGGTCAGAGGCACAGTAGGAAACACAGAGGAGAGGCAGCTTCCTACTGGACTAGGCTGCAAGATGTGCACAGAGGCAAGAATAGCATTTAGGACTCGATATTTGAATAGACACGGGAGCTCTTAAAATATTAGCAAAAAATCCTACCGGGCATAGAAAGTGTTATCACAGAGTCAGAATCTGCCAACACATGTTCCTACTTGTGGACTAAGGAAGAAAATGACCTTAATTCTTTCAGAAGGGGAAGACAAAGCATTTGATTTCAGTCAACACCCCTCTACATTGGTGGGGGAGCCCAGAAAACTAGTCACGCAAGTGAATTATTTACCTGAGAAAGACTGTCTTAAACCCTGCAGCAAATATGTATCATCTAGAGCCTTCAGGCATGAACCACCATGTTTGTACTGGGCATAGAATCCAGAGCCTCAGGCATGAACCACCATGTGTGGTTATGTGGTACCGGAGGGTAGAATCCAGAGTCTTAGGCATGAACCGCCATGTGTGGTTATGTGGTACCAGGGGTAGAATCCAGAGTCTTCAGGCATGAACCACCATGTGTGGTTATATGGTACCGGGGGCGGGTAGAATCCAGAGCCTCAGGCATGAACCACCATGTGTGGTTATGTGGTAGTGAGGGTAGAATCTAGAGTCTTCAGGCATGAACCACCATGTGTGGTTGGTTATGTGGTACCAGGGGTAGAATCCAAAGCCTCAGGCATGAACCACCATGTGTGGTTGGTTATGTGGTACCAGGGGTAGAATTCAGAGCCTCAGGCATGAACCACCATGTGTGGTTATGATGTGGTACCAGGGGTAGAATCCAGAACTTTGTGCACGTGAAATGAGAACTTTACAAAAAGAGCTGCATCCCTTGCCCTAAACTGGTTGTGCTGATTGAAAAAGTATAGAGGAGTTAAACAAACAAACAAACAATACATCAGGGGCTGGAGAGATGGCTCAGTGATTAAAAATGTTTTCCTACTCTCAGAGACAACCAAGCTTCGTTTCCAGCACCCACATTGGGTGGCTCACAACTACCTCTGAATCTAGTTCCAGCGTGACCAGTGCGCATAAACTTACACAGGCACATACACATCAAAAGAGATCTTAAAAATACACTATTGGAGCTGGAGAGATGGCTCAGTCTCAACCATGAGGACCAGAGCTTAGACCCCAGAACCCACATCAGGTAGCTTACTATCTCCTGTAACTCCAGCTCTGAGACACCTTCTCCTGGCCTCCTTGGGCTTTTGTGCACATAAGTATACATGTGTACATACATGCATGCACACACACACAGCACAAACAAGTCATCCTAAGGAAAGTGGGAAAATGTACTGATTTGAAAATAGAGGACAGGATTCTGTCCTTTCGGGGGTCAGTCATATGGAGAGCAGAGAAAGATGTTGACCTAAGCTGACCTGCTGCTCTACTGTGGCAATTTGGGCTCATATCACCCGGCGAGAATGGCGGCTGTGTCCTGTTATGTCTTCATTTTATTATCTTGGTGGTGTTTGCACAGTGACCAGAGCTTTTCTCAGCTGCCCTGTTCCCTAGGACGGGGCAGACTGCAAACTTTCTGCCAGCTGGTCCTAGTTTTCTGTATCTTCAATGCCTGGTTGTGGGGCAGGGAAGTCCTTTGGGGATGCAGCCTTTTGAACAGGTTCTACCCTCCAATGCCTGTGATTTCCCACAACTCAGTTCCCTATATAACAATATGCATGTGCTCCTGCCTCATCTGGGAAGTCTTGCTGCCGCTTCCTTGATTGAAGGCTCCACCCCATAAGTAACTGCCACTTCTCCCTTTAACTTAAAGTGACTCTGCACTGTGTAGTCTTTCCTCTGTAGCTAGACCAGCTCTCCAGGCTGACAGTCCATGGTCCAGGCCAACCTTCCTTGGAGTTCTTGGAGATGGGATAATGCCAACCCTTTGACTCCTACCGCTGCATCATGTTGCACATGCTGCTTGGGCCCTGTAGTCCCCAATCTGAATTAGACTTCAGTTCTGCTTAGTCCTGACAGTGTTCATCAGTGCTGGACTCTTTTTTTCTCCATTCCCCTACTTCTGCTTCTGGGAGTATTCCCAGCATGGAGATGGTCTTTTTCCATGTGTGCCTAAATTATTACTCTTAGACAACTCCATACTGAAACTCCAGTGCCTGCCTGCTGACCTCTACCATGGGTGACTATTTCCCAGCTGTCCTTTTCTGTTCCTAGAGGCGCCAGTTACAGAGTGCTGCCTGTCCATCTTCTCTGGACACTGCTGAGAACCTCATTCATTTTTGACTCACATGTTCTTGGAAGATTCCATTTCTTGCCTGGAACTTACTATTTAGACCAGAATAACCTCAAATTCATAGAGATCCACTTGCTCTGTCTCTTAGGTTCTGGGATGGAAGGTGTGCCACCATGTCCAGTCTGGCCTATGGAATTAATGCCGCCACAAGAGTCAGATCTGTTCAGCACTTGTCAGCCCTCTCCAGGATGTCTTTTAGAGGTACTTATTAGAAGTTGAGTTGTCCCATTTGTATGTTGAATTCTAATTCCAAGCACCTCAGAATGTGGCTGTATTTTATAACAAGATCTTTACAGAAGTAACAGGTGCACAATCCAAGGATATTAGGTCATTGTGCAGAGTCAGGGGGACTACTGTGTAAGAGCATAGGAGGTATGACATCCTTACAGCAAGAAAAGAAGCCTCAGAAGACCCCAGTTATTAAGATAAAATGAAAAATTATTTCTGTTGTTTAAATCATTTTGTCTATGGCATTTTAAAAATTTGTGCTAGCAAGTTAATAAAGAATCCAAGAGATTCTGAAGATGACAAGGAAAGACCTGGAACACCCAAGATAACTTCTAGAAGATCAAGGAAGAGGGGCTCATGCAAGATACTAAAGCTTCGGTTGGAGAGCTGGCTCAGCAGTTAGCAGCATTTGATGCTCTTGCAGAGGACCTTGCTTCATTTCCCAGCACCCATGTGCTTGCTCACAACCATCTCTATCCCCAGTTCCAGGGGATCTATTGCCCTCTTCTGGCCTCTATGGGCACCAAGCACTCACATGGTGCATATTAACACATGCAGGCAAAGCACTCATACACATAAAATAAAAGTAAATAGATCTTAAAGGTATTAGGAATCTGCATATGGCAGCAGAAAGGAACAGTCCAATCTGAGTAAGGGACAGACAGACAGTTCAGGAGACCCAGGGCACCACTCATCGACAGACAGACAGTTCAGGAGACCCAGGACACCAGTTCAGGAGACCCAGGGCACCACTCATGCACAGACAGACAGACAGACAGTTCAGGAGACCCAGGACACTCATCGACAGACAGACAGTTCAGGAGACCCAGGACACCAGTTCAGGAGACCCAGGGCACCACTCATGCATAGACAGACAGACAGTTCAGGAGACCCAGGGCACCACTCATGCACAGACAGACAGACAGACAGTTCAGGAGACCCAGGACACTCATCGAAAGACAGTGCAGGAGACCCAGGGCACTACTCATGCACAGACAGACAGACAGTTCAGGAGACCCAGAAACTCATCGACAGACAGACAGTGCAGGAGACCCAGGGCACTACTCATGCACAGACAGACAGACAGTTCAGGAGACCCAGGACACTCATCGACAGACAGACAGTGCAGGAGACAGGCACTCATTGACAGACAGACAGACAGACATTTCAGGAGACCCAGGGCACTACTCATGCACAGACAGACAGTTCAGGAGATCCAG